AGGACGTCCTTCTTCACCCAAAGAGTGATTAACACTTGGAATTCACTGCCACAGGAAGTGGTGGTGGCTACAAGCATGGACGGCTTCAAAAGGGAATTAGATAAGCATATGGAGCAGAGGTCCATCAGTGGCTATTAGCCACAAGGTATAGATAGGGACTCTGGGGCAAGTGATGCTCTGTCATCTTGGTGCTTGGGGGGGCCAACAGTAGTAGGGCTTCTAATGTCCTGGCCCCACTGGTGGACCTCCTGATGGCACTGGTATTTCTGGCCACTGTGTGATACAGAGTGTTGGACTGGATGGGCCTTTGGCCTGATCCAACATTGGCATCTCTTATGTTCTTATGTTCTTAACCAGGACTAACCCTGCTTAGTTTTTGAGATCTCACAAGAGCAGGCTAGTCTGGGCCATCCAGGTTAGGATACAAGCTACAGGTACCTGCTGCTTTTTAACATCAAGTAACTGGGAAGACTGGATGGTTACACGGATGTGAAGCCGGCACTAGGGTTGCCAGCTCTAGGAAAGACCTGGAGTTTTGGGAAGTGGAGCCTGGGGGGTGGGGGTGGGGTTGAGGATGGGAGGGGCCTCAGCAGGGTATAATGCCCATAGAGTCCACCCTCCAAAGCTGCCATATTCTCCAGGGGGAACTGATTTCTGTAGTCTGGCTGGACATCAGATGGAATTCTGGGAAATCTCCAGCTACTGGATTGAAAGATTCATTTCTCCACATGGCTCAGACGGCACCAGGTTTTATTTGGTTTTTTAACCAAAGGTGATTGCACATGCCACCTTCAGCTCTCTGGAAAACTATTGTTGTTGTTTTTTGCATTCTCTCAAACTGTTGTCTTTCCTGAGCCTCGGATTATCTCTTCGCTGTATTCCAAATAGTTGGCAACCTTCGTTGAATTAAATCCTAGCCTTCAGGATTAACCTAGGCCAGTGGTTCTCAGACTTTTGTACCTTATATCCAGTGAGTCACTCTGTCAAAGAACAAAAATCCCTCCGAATGTCCAAGAAAGACATTTATAAACATATGACATTCTGTTATACGGACATTCTGTTATTATAGTTATCATTCATAGGGATGGGGGGGAGTGATATCTTAGTAAATGTTATGAAAAGCCTGTGTCCTGCTGGTGGTATGCATACCATTGGTTGGGAACCTCTGATCTAGGCTGTTTACTCTGTTAGGAACTCCCCCCCCCACTGCTCCCCCCCCCACTGTAAACTGGAAATAATTATTCTGATAAAGTTACAGGGTGGTTGTAAGGATGAAACAAGGATTCTGTTCTAATTGACAGCATAAATATTTTCCCAGTGGCAGCTTCTTTAGTTTTTGTTTTCTCTGGAAGATCTTTCTTTGTGGCTTGGGCATTGCTAATGGGGGACCTATTTTCTACTGTTTTCTCCTAGCAGAAGGAATGTGTACTAGATAGATATTCAAAGGGCTGGAAGAAAATCCAGAAAAAAACGAAAAATAAGGGTGGCTTGGTTTGCTTTCCTCCAAGGACTACGTTTTCTAGTTTTTTCCCCAGTGAAAAAACCCTGGAAATGTTTCCCTGCAACTTATGGGCTACGGCGGGGGGGGGGGGGATCAACGAAACATTTGGATTAAGTGCAGTGCACTTTAAGACAAGGTTTTCCTCACTCAAAATGTGCAGTATGAAGATTTTGTAATGTAAAATAATCTACAGTATTATCTAATGATATTTTCTGTATTTATTGCAGATACAAACAACATATTTTCAAGGACATGTTTAAATCTGGCTATAGTATGTAATATTAATAATACAATAATATTAACTAATAAAACTAATTTTAACAATGCAGCACACTGTTTTCAGTGTTCTAAAACTGAATTCAGTATCCAAATTTGTTGCTAGTCCTACTGCAATTGTATGAGACTGTTTCTTCCAAATAATACACTTTTTTGTTTACTACCAAAAAATGTGTTTTCTGTTTTGAGTATTTATTTATTTATAGCAGAGATCCAGCCTTCCAAGCTCATTGAAGTCAATTGAAGAACATAACTCTGCTTAGTCTGGCACATGTGTTAAGGCATCACAGGGTGCAGCAGTGTGTAGCACTCTCTCTCTGTCTCTCTCTCTCTCTGTCTCTCTCTCTCCCTCTCTCTCTGTCTCTGTCTCTCTCTCTCTCTGTCTCTCTCTCTGTGTCTCTGTCTCTCTCTGTCTCTCTCTCTGTCTGTCTCTCTCTCTGTCTCTCTCTGTACTGCTTGGTGTAGCCACAGTTTTGCTTGGAGATTATCAAGGCTTTTGTACTTTTCTATTTCAAAACAATGTCAAATATTAAAATCGTATATGTTAACTAAATTATAAATGATGAATTTTATGTCATTGAAACAGTAAAATAAGTATAGGGTTGATAAGAAAAGAACTATTGCATATATATCAATTTCTCCCAAAATGCCCCCCCCCCGGGAAAGCAGTGACAGACCTACATTTTTGGGACAGTGACGCTTGAACTGCTATGCCCTTCTCAACCAGCAACAATAGGGCAACATCCTTGCAAGGACCTCAAGCCCAAAATGGTGGGAAATGGGTATTAGAGTATATTCTAAGGTCAATATTAAGTACTTCAACCAGTGTTCCCTCTAAGCTGAGTCAGTGTGAGCTAGCTCACAGTTTTTTAGCCTCCGGCTCACACATTTTTGTCTTAGCTCAGGAAGGATGGCTCCAGAGCAAACTGATTTATGCAGTAGCCATATCGCTCGCTCACAACTTTAATGCCAGTAGCTCACAAAGTAGAATTTTTGCTCACTAGACTCCACAGCTTAGAGGGAACATTGACTTCAACCATTGGCTTATGATTCCGTCACTAAGGCTGCGGTCACACACACTAAATAACCCACTTTCAATGTACCGTCCAACTGGATCTTGCCAGTTCACACAGGAAAATCCAGTTGGAAAGTGCATTGAAAGTGGACTGAAAGCGGATTATTTAGTGTGTGTGACTGTAGCCTAAAATAGCCTTATTTTAATAACAAGCACTTAAAAAAATTACATCAATTTTGTTGAAAAATTCACTCATGAAAAAAGTTGCTTCAGGGCCCCTCCAGGGCCAGCTTCATTAGTTTCATAATAGGCCCGCCCCTGGGGAAGAGATCTGCATTTTCCCCATGGATTCAAAATGTTCAAAAATTTGACATCTCTAGCTGACATCCTGCTTGCCCTGGGCAACTATAAACTTTCCTGGTAGAAGTGAGAAGTCAGATTGCGTTAATATGTTGACTAAGGTGTTGGTGTCTCCCTCCTTCCAAGACAAAGCTTTTAGACATAAAGGAGCATTGTTGGTTCAAAGTCCAGCAGGGGCCGCTGTCTCCTACAGATAAAGCCCAAGACTGGCAGAGACCACACTCACAGACCTTTATTGGCATGTGTCAGGTTACAGGAAGAAACAGAAACAGATAAAGAGATAACAAGGACTGTGCAATCGACCCTTAATTACCAAACTTAGAAATAAGGCTGCCTTTTCAGATATTTCAGGTGGCGAATCATTCAGGAGATGGCACACCTTCAAAGCATCCGGGCAGCCTGTCATGTTAAATAAACTTGGGTCTAAAAGAGTAAAACGTATATCATCATAGTGGGGACAGTATAGAAGAATATGGAAAACTGAGTCAACTTGATTTAGATTACACGCACAGAGTCTTGCTGCATACGGAATCCCTCTCTCCCCC